ACCTTCTCTAATTATTATCTTTCTATAAAGTTTAGTTGTTGATTTACGAGTTAGGGTTTGAGGGTTAAGGTTTTATTCAATTTTTTTTGAGTTATTGGTCTGCCTTTTTACCGATAAAATTTTATTATCTCTTAGTTTAGTTGTTGATTTACGAGTTAGGGTTTGTGGGTTAAGATTTTCTTCAAATATCTGAGTAATTGATTTACCTTTTTACCAATAAAACTTTACGATTTGTTAATTTAGTTGTTGATTTACGATTTAGGGTTTGTGCGTTATGATTTTATACAAATTTCTTAGCTATTTGTTTGATTTTTTACGAGTTAGGGTTTGTGGGTAGGTTTTAGGGTATTGTATGATTTTGGAGGAGGTGGTTTAGGTTTCGGAGATGTTATTGAGTATGGGTTGATTTGTGGTCCCAATATTTTATTCATTCTTGATTGAATGTGGTCCCTAGTTTGTTTGTTGAAATGTTATAGTTTTTAATTTGTTTGTTGTCTTTGTGTGCCTTTTTATTTGTTTTTTTAACTCCTACCTTTTATAGTGTATGTTTAGTTAATATTTCTGTCTCATTATTGTTTTTGTAAATTGGTTTAGGTTTGGAAGTTATTAATGTTTTTTCGTGTGCCTTAGATTACCTAAAATGGTTCTGATTGGTCTGGTATTTCACTATGGTGGAGAATGGATAAGAGAGTCTAAGTTGCTTTATGAGATCTTTTATCTTTTATAGATATTACTAATGAATATAAGGATAAATTAAGATATGTGGGTGTGCAACAATTAATTGTATATGTCCCGACTGAAAAATATTATGAAATAGAAGGTGATGAGGGGATTAGAACATTATTATCCTTTGTTAATGAAAATTTAATGTTATTAACTTATTTGTTTTTGAGGATAGTGAGTTAGATGTTGATGTTGAGAATATAACCAAAATGAAAGAGAGTATGATAGTGATTGATGAAGTAGCTATTGATTGTACTTCTGCTGATGGTACTGATAATGATAGTGATATTTTCACTGATAATTTTGATTATAATTCTGAAGAATTGGAGGTTCTTGTACAAGAAAGAAAGAGGATAATCGATTGCAACTTGTGTGATTACAAGGATATACACAGGTTAATGCATTTAAGGATATAGCTGAAGCTAGAAGATACATTGGTTTGCATGCATTGGCAAGTGACTATAATTTAACCATTAAAAAAAGTCACTCAAAAAGATTTAGGGTTGTTTGCAAAAATTAATGCAATTTTGTATGCCTAATTTCTGGTGAAAAGCATTCTCATGGTGTTAGTGTGAAAATATTGAAAGGAGAGCATAAATGTGATGATCCATGTGGTAACTACAAGGTTAGTGCAACGACAGTTGCTTTCTACTTTAAGGAGAAGTTGCAGGCTAATCTCAAATACAAGATAAAGAAAATGAGAGTTGATCCCAAAAATGCTTTCAACATTAATGCTCATTTTGAAAAGTGTAAGAGAGCCAAAAGAACGATTTTGAAGAATATGGAAGACAGTTTTTGTGATGATTATATAAGCTTGTTGGGTATGCAAATGCTTTAAAAGAGAGTAATGCATGAAGTGATGTTGTCCTTAAAGTTTCAAGAGATGCATTATCGATGGAAAAGGAAATTTTTGAGAATGTACATTTGTTTTGAAGCAATGAAGAATGGTTTTAAGAATGGGTTGAGACCTTTCATTGTCCTGGATGGTACATTTTTGATGGGTAAAGCTAGATGTCTACGTTATGTGCAATTGGTCAGGACTAAATGAACCATTTCTATTCTATTTCTTGGGTTATTGTGGACATAAAGTGTAATATATCTTGGGTGTGGTTCTTGGAATTACTTCAGAAGTCTCTAAATAACAACAATGGAGAAAGAATCACATTTATCTCTGATATGCAAAAGGTAAAATCTCACTGATTTATTCATTCTTACTGTATCTTTATCTTATGTATTTTTATTTGTTCTTGTCAGTGTTTATGTATATATCATTATCTTATGTATTTTCATCTGTCATGTATATTTTTATGACTGATAAACAGGAATTAATTGAAGATGTTAAAGATGTTTTACATAATGCTATGCATAGATATTGTGTGAGACACATAAAGGCCGATTGGAGAAAAAAGGGCATGAAATCTAAATTGATGTCTAAGTTATTGTGGTGGTCTGCATGGAGCACCTACAAAAAGGAGTTATATGATCATTTGAAGACATTAGATCAACTGTCTGAAGAAGCAAAAGACCATTTGTTGCATTTTTCAATACAAACTTGGTGTAGAGTATTTTTTGACACTGTCATGACCCAGGGGTACACCCTAGATGTAACATGGCATATAGAACCCCGAAGGACTCCATACAAGCCACTTAGATCTCATAACATAAGAGTTATAACAATAAGAGTAAATCAATAGTCCAAGACCAAAACATTTTATAAAATGGAAAAGCGGAAATCTAAACTCATGTCTCATCATAGCCATCTAATACAATAGAATGAAATTGGGCCTAACCCATACATCATGTCCAAAAAGGAAATACAAAAAAGAAACTATAACAATGAAGTCCATCCTCGAACCATGAGGACTCACCAAGCTCGGGAAAGAATCAAAGTCCAAGTTTTAGCCACAATATTGGGAGCCCTGTCTGACGGACCCTACATTTGGGGAAAATGTAGGCAACAGTATGCGATAGTACAAAAATGCACCAAGTATGGTAGCTATGCATAAACCATTTAAAACATGTTGAAAGGGACATTTCATTTCATAATATGCAATTGACCAAGTAAAACATGATATAAGAAGGTTAGAAAGCATAAATCATAATATTATGGTAAATGCAAGCTAAATCATCTTTAAATCTTTGAACACATATGAGATACTCCTTGAGTAACCTTAGTTCACTTTTAGTCTTGTTGTGGGAAAATTAGCCTTAACTGACATAAAGACCATGTGAGCTATAACATGATCCCCCAGCGTCTTTCACACCGAAAAAGGTTGTTCAACTTGCCTAAGGTAGAACCATGAACTTCTAGCTTAAGTGGATCCACTAGAGAATTATCCTATGGGGGCACATAACTTATGGGATAAGGAGATTGTTACTAGAAACTCGACCTCTACAAACGGGAGAGCTTCCATCTCACATTAATATCCACTCGGTGCTAAGCAAAATTCCATGGAATAGTCATTTCTTACTTATTCTTGTTATCGATGGAGAGGTATCTTAGGATTACCAATCCAAGCTAGTTTTATTAGGATAGATCTTACTCTTTGATTCAATTAGGTGAGAAATCCTTTCAACCTAAGACTATGTGAGAAAACCTTTCACATCATGCTATTATGTGTTTATGAGAATATCCTTTCACAACACAACATTAAACATCATCATTGACACTTTACTTTCAAAGCACCCTTAAAATATTTACATAGGTTTCATAATATCATGCATAAACTCATATTTTCCCTTTCAAGGTTCAAAGCTTGCTTTCAATCACCAAATCTAGAAATCATGCATTAGATAAGGATTATATCATAAATTCATGTGATTCTATCACTTCATGCTTTAGATCATAAAATTCCTCTTTCATAATCAACAACCCTCATCAAATGATCACCATTTGGAAAACATGGGAGTTTGCATGGGTTCATAGGGTAAACATCATAAAAGCATTGAAAATCATCAATTCATGCATATTAAAACATAATTCAAACATTAAGATCAATAATCAAAAGAACCCATGGTAATTGAAGAAAATCCTAGCTAATTGGGGAATTCTACCTTTTGATATAGAGGAATTTGGGGACTCCATGAATGAAAGAGATTCATGGATGAAAACTACCATACCTTGAATCCAAATGTTAGCCTTCAATGAAGAAATTGGACCCTTCGCTTGAAACCCTAGTTGAATCCTTCTTTTTCTTCTTCTTCCTCAAGTTCTAGAGAGAGAATATTTTGAGAGGAGGTTTGATTTCTCTTGGGGAATTTGGAAGATGAATTAAATTGGTTGAATTTGGGGGTAAAAAGGCTTATATATAGGTTCTAAGCTTAGGTAAAATGACACAGTATACGAATTAATTAATTAGAAAAAGATCCAACTGACGCTAAAAAATAACTATCAGCTGTCACTGACAGACCGTGGTCTGACCTACGGTCCGTCCTGGTGGACCGTCGTTGGTTATCAAAGACTTGATTTTGGGGGCTTCAAACCACAGACCTTGACCATAGATCGTAGTCTGACCTACGGTCCGTGGCTCTTCGCCCTCAGACTATGGCTAGGCAAGCCTAACCACCGACCGCACCTACGATCCGTGGTTCTATCCATGGGCCGTGGGTGGCCGGCGTGGTATGGAACTTGCAACTTTGGAAAGCTGCTATTTTGGCCTAGTTTGAATACGGGGTGTTACAATATCTCTCCTTTGGGATCATTCGTCCTCGAATGAGATTCTACGCATATTTTAAACGAAAGAGACTCAAGACTAGCAACCCATCATACATGCAACTCATCAAAATGCACATAATCGAGGAGGAAACATCAAATCCAAGCTAGACATACTCAATGTATCATATGGAAGTGGGAACTACATCTAGAAACTCAAAATGCATGAAAATTTTAGATTTCTTATATTCAAGGAGGAACTACCTTCTCCAAGCTAAAAACATGCTCAACACAATCTCATGGAGGCAATATGCAATTCATTCTCAAAAAGCATATCTAATGCAATCATCTCATGAAGGCTATAGGCAACTCATACTCAATGCACAACAACATTAGGAAAATAAATCATATAAGTCATTTCTTTCAAAACTTATACTTTTCATGAACATGCATAACATAAGGAAATCATGGAAACGCATAAATTACACATGACTCCCAAACATAGAACAACCAAGAGGAACTCATTACCTCAAGCTAGAGTAGGAGTAGAAGGAAAGAGATGAGGATATCGGGACATCATATCGACCTCGGCCTCGCAAGTAGAACCCTCAACTAAATGATTCCTCTATAACACCTTTACGGAAACAACTTCCTTGTTTCTCAACTTTGTGACTTGCCGATCTAAAATCTCAACCGGAACCTCTTCATAAGAAAGATTCTCTTTAACTTCCAAACCCTCTAAGGAAACCATGGATTTTGGATCACCAACACATTTCTTCAACATGGAGACATGGCAAAACGGATGCACCGATGCCAACTCATTTGGCAAATCAAGCTCCTATGCAACCTTACCAATACGTCTCAAAATCTTATATGGGCCTACAAAACGGGGACTAAGCTTCCTTTCTTACCAAACCTCATTACACCCTTCATGGGTAAGATTTTTATGTAAACCCACTCATGAACATCAAACTCAAGATCCCTTTTTCTAACATCGACATAAGACTTTTGTCGACTTTGAGCCATTCTCAACCTCTCCTTAATAAGCCGAATATTCTCTATGGCCTCATGTACCAATTCGGGACCTATGAGAGCAACTTCACCCATCTCAAACCATCTTATAGGAGACCTACACCTCCTGCCATAAAGAGCCTCAAATGAAGCCATATTAATACTCGAGTGATAACTGTTATTATAAGCAAACTCAATCAATGGCAAATGGTCATACTAATTACCCTTTAAATCAATCACAAAAGCCCTCAACATGTCTTCCAAAGTTTGGATGGTATGATCCGCTTGCCCATCAGTTTGGGGATGAAAAGTCATGCTAAGCTTAACCTTTGTACCAAGACCCTTTTGGAATGACTTCCAAAACTGAGAAGTGAATTGGGTACCACGATAGGAAATAATGGACAAGGGCACTCCATGCAACCTTACAATTTCTCTCAAATACAACTTAGCATAATCTTCCACCGAATAAGAAACCTTGACGGGAATAAAATAAGCAGATTTCGTCATCTGATCCACTATTACCTAAATCAAGTCATGTTGTCACTGAGTACGTGGCAACCCTACAATAAAGTACATATTCACATCTTCCCACTTCCAAGTAGAAATACCAATGTCTTGGGATAAACCTCCCAGTTTGTGATGCTCAACCATCACTTGTTGACAATTAGGACACTTAGCCACAAATTCCGCAATATGCTTCTTCATCCCATTCCACCAATAGATCTCCCGCAAATCACGGTACATCTTGGTGGCTCCCCGGTGAATAGAATACCTAGAACTATGGGCTTCTGCCAAGATCTGTTCCCTCAAGTTATCAACATTCAGAACACATAACCAACCTTGATATCTAAGTACCCCATCTCCCCTTTGGGAGAAAGCCTCAACGGACTTTTTGAGCACCGACTCTTTCAATTCTACCAAAATTGGATCAAGACCTTGCTTGTCCTTCATATCTATCACAAAAGAAGATTCAGACCTATTATGAACCATAACACCACCCTTGGTGGAATCCACTAGTTGAACACCTAATCGAGCCAACCTATTAACATTTCAAACTAACTTTTTCTTTTCACCCTTAACACGAGAAACACTACCCATTGATAGACAACTAAGAGCATCTGCCACCATATTTGCTTTATCGGGGTGATAGAGAACACTCATGTCATAATCCTTCAAAAATTCTAGCCAGCTTTTTTGGCGGAGATTCAAGTCCTTTTAGTTGAACACATATTGCAAACTCTTATGATCGGTGAAAACATCAACATGGACCCCATACAAATAATGCCTCCATATCTTTAGGGCAAAAACAACCGCCGCTAACTCAAGGTCATGGGTAGGATAATTCTTTTCGTGGATCTTAAGTTGCCTTGAAGCATAGGCAATAACCTTACCATTTTGCATAAGCACACATTCTAACCCTATTCTAGAGGAATCACAATATACCATAAAGTCATCCGTACCTTCTGGTAAGGTCAACACCAGAGCGGAAGTAAGTCTATCTTTCAACTCTTGGAAACTTTTCTCATAAGCTTCCGACCATATGAATTTAGCCTTATTTTGAGTCAAAGCCGTCAAAGGAGAAGCAATGGAGGAAAACCCCTCAACAAACCTTCTATAGTAATCGGCCAAGCTTCTAATAACCGCAGAAGTTAGAGGTCTAGGCCAACTCTTGACCGCATCCGTCTTTTTTGGATCTACCTCAATTCCTTTGCTTGACACAAATATGACCAAGAAAAGCTACGGACCTTAGCCAAAATTCACATTTGCTAAACTTTGCAAAAAGTTGTTGGTCCTTAAGAATTTGCAACACAATCCTCAAATGGTTAATATGCTCATTCTCACTTCTCGAATAGATCAAAATATCATCAATAAATACAATTACGAACATATCAAGGTATTGTCTAAACACCCTATTCATCAAAACCATAAACGTGTCAAGCTCTACCAAGTCAACAAGAGTAACTCTATAGGATAAGGAAACACGACACTTTCTATAGATCCTATTAGCCACAATAGAATCACCAACAGGAGTAGAGACAGAAAAAGGTTCTAACAACTCATTCGGAAGAACATCAAACCTCATAGCCACATAAGGTGTCACAAAAGACAAAGTAGCATCAGGATCAAGTATAGAATATACATCAAGTTGAAAAACTTTTAACATACCAGTAACCACATCGGGATCAAGTTTTGCTTGGGAGCATTGGAACCCGAACCACTAGGAATAGATTGCTTGCCCTCTCTCCCCTTAGCCGCAAGTATTGGGAAATCCCTCATTTTGTGACCACTCTTCCCGTAACTAAAGCACCTATCGTGCCGGCTAGACACTTACCATCGTGCTTCTTTTCAAACTTAGCACAAGTAGACCTAGCCAACGAAGAACCACCACCATTCCCTCCTTGAGGTTTAGGGTTAGACACCCTATATTTGTTAAACTTCAAAGGAGCATTGAAGGAACCTTGATCGGAAAAACCTTATCAAAACTTAGGACAATCATGTCCATCGGATCTAGCATGAGAGAAATTACCATCACCGGTCTTAGCCCTTTTTACCTCCTTATACTTTTCCTTGAGTTTCTTCTCTTCAATTTGTTGTGCATGCACCATGAGACGAGAGATGTCCATGTCACCAATGAGCATTGCGGTACGAAACCACCATTTCAGACACACCCGACACGAACTTACTCATCCTTGCCCTAGAATTTGCAACCATTGTTGGAGCATATTTGGATATATGTGTGAACTTCAGAGCATATTACCTCACACTTATACTTCCTTGACGAATGTTGATGAACTCAACCACTTTTGTTTCCCTCATCTCAAAGGGAAATAACCTATAAAGAAAAGTAGATTTAAACATTTCCCACTATATGGAACCCGCTCTTACCGGTCTTGTTTCCTTCCATTGGTTGTACCACACTTGAGCAACACCTTTCAATTTATAAGTGGCCAATTCCGCCTTCTCTCCCGGAGTCACTCCTATGATAGCAAGTACCTTATAGACCTCATTGATAAACTCTTTGAGGATCTTTCTCAACTTTGGAGCCATGAAATTCCAGAGGGTTCATCCTCATAAAGTCCCTCACTCTTGAAGCCATCATACCGACAGATGGGTTCACAGGGACTACTACCTCTCTATTGGCTTTGGCCGTCACGGCTCAAGCCAACACTTGAAAAGCCGATCTAAACTCTGCATTTGTAACTTGTTCGGACAAGGGATCAATCGGAGCATGAGGAGGAGCTTGGGGAGAAGCTTTTTGTTCCATATTCTCCCTCACATTCCTTCTAGTATAAGTTCTTCACGCAGACATATCCTGTAGAGCATATGGTAAGGATTATGAGAGAGACGTAATAAAGTTAAACAATGGCACAACTTTAAAGTAATAAAAGAAGTGGAATGTCCTAATCATCTTGTAGCCTCTCATTCATAAATGTGGCACGCTTCACACTCATGAACAAGACTAAACTATACGTGGCTTATGAGACATCCTAGGACCATTCTAAATCTTGTGCTCTGATTACCAAGTTTGTCACGACCCAGGGTACACCCTAAACGTAACATGGCATATAGAACCCTGAAGGACTCCATATAAGCCACACAACTCTCATAAGATAAGAATTAAAACAATAAGAGTAAATCAATAGTCAAAGTCCAAAACATTTTATAAAGAGAGATCTCCCAAAGTTACAAGACTTGAGGATGCGAGAGCCAAGGCAAAAAGGTGATAGAAAAGAGTAATGGGAGTTTCGTCGAGTGGTTTGGCGAACCCGACTTATCTCGCCTAATGGCCCTTCGTGGCTTATTTTTGGCGACTATAAATTAGATTTTGAATAGTTAATTTAGTATGCTGAATTAGTTTAGAATACTTTTCTCTTGAGTTTTTCATAGTTTCTCGGTAGACTTGAAGGATTTTGGAGATTCAATTTGGAGATTTTGCAAGTGGGTTTCGATTTTTTTGCAAATTGAAGCATTGTAAATACTAAATCTCTTACCCAGTTGATGGCTAATCGATTTGGTAATCGTTTTTACTCTTTTATGATGTTTGGCTAAAACCCCAATTCTTGGGGTGTAATCATGTGATTATGGGTTAAATTACTCTATGGGTATTGTTAATTACTAGTTTAAATGCTAAGTTAAAGTGAGTTTAATCATTAATTGTGGTTCAATTTATGAATTGTAGTTGCAAATGCAATTTTAATTTTGTGTTCTTGGCTTGCTCAAGAGAGAGGTTTTTATAACTAAGATTATTGATTAATGATTTGTAGGTATTGGGTTGAGCTGGGTTTAGCTCAAGAGAGTGAATCCTAAACCCAATCCTACTCATCTAGCCCGAGAGAGTGGATGAATTAAGGTGTGTGTTGTTCTTCATTGTTATGCTTGTTGATGTTCGAAAGAAATCACCTGATTCAGGGTAGTTGTTCGAGGGAAGGCTATCTCCCTTATAGTCTAGCCTACTCACTGATTTTTAGCCGTTTACTAGTAGCTTCAATTACTCATATATCAAAATTTGCCTATAATTGATCACATCCCGAGAATTTCTCTCCTTATTGTTATTGCAAATTGCTTGTGACTGCGTTGTAGTTGATAATTGCAAAACCAAAACCCCCCATCTGACATTCATGTCAAGCCTTTTAATTTGTTTTATGTCTTTTTTGATAATTTCTATTCTTATATCTAGTTATATCATACTCATACTTCTTGATTGAATTTGAACATGTACCGCTCCCTGTGGGATTCGACTCCAACTCTATTGTTGGGTTATATATTTCTTAACGATCGTCTACACTTAGAATTGGATGAAATGTATTTGATAGACGTTACTCATATCACTTCATGAATGAAAGAGATTCATGGATGAAAACTACCATACCTTGAATCTAAATGCTTGCCTTCAATGAAGAAATTGGGCCCTTAGCTTAAAACCCTAGTTGAATCCTATTTCTTCTTCTTCTTCAAGTTCTAGAGAGAGAATATTTTGAGAGGAGGTTTGATTTCTCTTGGGGAATTTGGAAGAATGAATTAAATGGGGGGAATTTGGGGGTAAAAAAACTTATATATGGGTTCTAAACTTACGCAAAACGACATAGTGTAGAAATTGATTAATTGGGAAAAGACCGAACTGACACTGAAAAATAACTGTCAGCTGCCACCGATGGATCCCAGTTGACGGACCGTGGTCTGACCTACGGTCTGTCCTAGTGTACCGTCTTTGGTCATCAGAGACTTGGTTTGTGGGGCTTCGAACCACGAACCGTGGTCTGACATACGGTTCGTAAGTCTTGGCCCTCAGACTATGGCTAGGTAGTCCTAACCACGGACCACACCTATGGTCCGTGGTTCCATCAACGGGCCGAGGGTAGCCGGCGTGGTTTGGCACCTGCAACTTTGGAAAGCTGCTATTTTGGCCTAGTTCGTATACTGGGTGTTACAAACACTGCTTGCAAGAATAATAAGATGAAAAATAATTTGACTGAATCATTCATCTATGGGATATTGGAAGCAAGTCACAAACCAATAATTGAGATGCTTGAGGATATAAGAATCAAAGTTATCACCAAGTTTGTAAAAAATGAAAATGAACTGATGGCCAGGAACTTTGATTGGAGTCCAACACCTATTGAAATCTACAATTCTTGAAGATTGCTAATGTGTGTGATTTACATTTCAATGGAGATGATGGATTTGAGATAAGTGAAAAAAATGACAGGCATACTGTCAGTTTGGCAACTAAAAAATTCACCTGTAGGGTATGGGATCTTAAATCGCCCATATGTATAAAGGTCAATTCTTTAGTGTGAGAATTAATTTGGATATGAACTAAGGTCACTAGAATCTCCTAGCACTAAGTTGAGTAAAAATCTTCATACCTAATAAGTTTTGATGTAAGACTTTACCTGGGTTAACTTCAAACAACCATATCTCTTAGAATATAAAGAGTTGTGTGGCCCATAACCTATCAAATTAAAGAAATTTGAATCTTCTTTCCAACGCCACCAATTTCTCAATAATCCGAGTTTTGAGTAAAAAGTTATGACCATTTTAGTAATCTGCTACAGTGTAGTGACGAATTAGCCGACACAAAAACATTAAAAAGGGTCATTTTTGTCTTTTTACCTCTAAGAAAAACCCTGAACGAATTTCTTGACTAATTAAAGGTCCAAAACAATCAGATTTTCATCCTTTAATCCCCCATTCCCTTATCTCTCAAACCCTAAGGCAAAATCCTAAGGAAAAATCAAAGTAGAAGACTTCAATTCAAGATTCTTTCGATCATTTTCAAGATTCTTCTTCAAGGTAAGTCCTTCTCCAATAATTTCATTATATCCAACTCAATTTTCTTCATACAAGTATGAATTGTTAATGAGAATCCCAGTTCTTGGCCGTAGAGTTTCAAGAAACTAATTCAAGAAATCTCAAGAAAAGTTTTCTTAATTTTTCTTTTTCAAGCTAGGGTTTCAAGGCTTCTAATTAAGTTTTTTTTCAAGATTCTTCAAGAACCTTGTTCTTCCAGGTATGTAAGGCTATCATAGTGTTGGACTAGTTCGTCTTCACGCCCTACATCTACTTCCAAATCAGTAAAAGAGTAATCTAGGGTTCTATCCTTAGATTTGAGTATTCTTGAGATGAGTTGACTTTGAGTTCTTGAGTTCTTGAGTTCCTGATTTTTTTTAAATTCTATTCCTAATTATTAAATTGTTATATGTTATGCATTGATATTCTTGAGTTGATTCGTTCATGTCTATATTTCAGCATGAACCCTATGAATTGAGTATTCTTGAGATGAGTAGTATCATTGAGTTCTAAGTTCTTGAGTTCTGTGTATTGAGTTTTCTATATTGTTTTTGAGATCCTTGAGTTTAGTTGTTCATGTCTATATTTCAGCATGAGCCCTATTTTGAGAATCTTTTAAAGCCAACATTTTTGTTTTAGATTGAGTTTTTCAGAAAGTAAAGAGGAGTTTGAGAAAGAGTTTGAAAACATGATTAGTATGACAATCAAGTATGCCATCAATGTTTAAGCAGTATGGTATTTAGATATACCATCAATGTTTATGCAGTATGACTTCCCGAGTCATCAATGATCAGATCACAATATGATTTTTTATATAGTTTTGAGAAAAAAAATTCATATATGAATTGAGTAAGAGTACAAGTGAACTAAGTATTCCCAAAGGTAACAATTTTTACATTGAGAAAAGAGAAACTTTGATTTCTAAATGAGTTAATGAGTTCATAGATATTTTAGAGAAGCTACCTCTTTTAAGAGGTTATTTTGAATAGTTACCTCAAAACAGAGAAAGAGTATGTTTTATACATTTGAGCATGAATATATATATTGTTGGGAGTAGTATTGAGCACCGATATGGGGATGAGTTCAGACAACTCAAAATCCTCGTAAACTATGTATGCCAACATGGGTAAAGGATCATACTTTTTAGATGAATCATTATTGATTAGTGGATCCACTTAGTTGAGGTGTTCTATACCCTGACAAGGAATAATACAGTTCTGGTAGCGTGGGCGAGACGTTGTATCATCACGTAGCTCATAGTGATGGTTGTCGGTTAGAGAATCTTTCCAAATAGAGTTAATAGTGTATTTTTATTATATCACTTAATATGTTGAGTTCATAGATGAGTATATTTTTGTAAAGTTTTAATGATTTCACTCATTTATTTCTTTACATTCAGTTGAGTATAGATATGTATATATATATATATATATTGCAGCCATTTCATTCAGTTATTTGTAATTCGATATTACATACTAGTACATTCATTGTACTAATGTCATTCAACCTGCATATTTTAATGATGCAAATACAGGTTTTTAGGATCCTCAACAAGAGTTCGTTAAGATCACTTTGTCTGCTCGCTAACTTTTGAGTACGACATCCTTGCTTTCGGAGTACTCTAGTTTTATGAGTTGTTAGTAATAGTAACATTTTGAGTAGTCGCGGGTCTTGTCCCGACACTCGTCTATATATAGTAGAGTCTTCATAGATAGATAGTTTTGGAGAGTTTTTCAATTTTCAGATGTTTTATCTTC